CCTAGTTCTCTGCCCTTCTATTAAGGAGACACCTTTCCTTGAGCAACTGCCAACGATTTACACTTCTGCTTTGACTATTATAATGAAATATTTCATTTGCTTGCTGTATTGATTTCTGCCTCAATCAGAGGAAAAAGAAAGGAGAGACAAGTCTCCTCTTGGGCTGAAATACTGGAGAGAAAAATATTATCTACCACATTAAATGAATGTTTCGTCATTTACAGGCAATACTAACTGTATATTCTATTCCCCTTTCCAAACAGGAAAGGAGCCCTCTACCAGAATAGTTTGATGAACTCTAGTGAGGTAAATGAGGTACATCTGCTAATCGTTGAAACGCCATGCCTTCCTTAGAATGCCAAATACTAGTTTGTATTTCTATGGAATTTGTTTTGATGGAATCGCAAATTTCCTTCTGTAGATAAAAGGCATAATTCTCAACAACATCCCTGTGAGGAAGGCAGGTGTGATCTCCCTGACGTGGGTGATAGGCAATGGGCCATAGAAAGAGATGGTCATTACACGGGAAGAGGGTGTTAAGGAAAGGGGTGGAAAGATGGTTTGCTTGCAGGTTCCACAACCTCTTAACAAAAAACTAACCACAGTTTTTCTCTCCATCAAATTAAACACTTTTTGCAATATTTATTATCTAATCAGATGAAGTAAGAAATTTCAGCCTAAGGATAAATAAATTACTATCACCTGCAATGGGTAACATAGTACAAAATAAGGTAGGGTTTTTTTTTTGTATTTTTTATGTACACTGAAGACCACATCATTGTACATAGAATGATTAAGACCTAACCGAGCATCTAGGAAAAGAGGGGCCTAAGAAATCATGAACAGAGTGCTATAACTAGCTCACTAATAATGACTTTTTTTCTCCTACAGTGAGTTAAAATTTACAAAGTATGTTTACATATGTTACCTCATTTGATATCTTCAATTACTCCAAGGTAGCCCGATCATTCCTATTTTACAGGCAAATAGATCAAGGCCTAGATTGGATTATTAACTTGACTGAGGTCACATGGTTGGTGAGCAGTCAAGTCAAGACTTGAGCTAACATCATCTGAGTCCAAGGTCAGGCTCCTTCCACCTCACCAGGGTTGCCTTGCAATTAATAACGTCCAGGTTAGCCAAATCCAATCTGCCATCATGACACAGAGTTAGTCCAAATAACATAGTCAAGATAATTTGTCCTCTAATGTGGTGTTTCTCATACTGTGATCCACTTGTATTAGAATCATCCAAGAAGCTTGATATAAAGGATGGAGATTTTGTTCAGTAGGTTTGCAGTAATGCTCTGGACTCAATGTATTAAATTCACACTCCAGATGAATCAGATAATCCTTTGGAATTCTTTTTTTTTTTTGAGGAAGATTAGCCCTGAGCTAACATCTGCTGCTAATCCTCCTCTTTTTGCTGAGGAAGACTGGCCCTGAGCTAACATCTGTGCCCATCTTCCTCTACTTTATATGTGGGACACCTACCACAGCATGGCTTGCCAAGTGGTGCCACGTCCACACCCGGGATCTGAACCGGTGAACCCCGGGCCGCTGAAGTGGAACGTGTGCACTTAACTGCTGCGCCACTGGGCCAGCCCTTGGAATTCTTGACGTGACTCAATTTCCAAGGCTATTGTTCAAATCTTTCCAGATACAATTTTTGTTATAGTTTTGCCTGTGTAGAATTCCTCCTATTTCTTTTCTTTAATTTCAGAGGCCATAAAAGATACCATTGTAGGAGGAAAGCTCTTCTGCCAACTTCTAAACGCAATGCTCAGTTTAACGTAAAATATCCACGTGGAAGAAAAACCAAACATTGATCACAGCCCCAAATGCCATAGGCTTTCACTTGGAAGGGCTTCTTGGACTTTATATTTCAATCCAGTTTGCTTCTAAAAGTGGGGTTTGCCCGTATTTCTTCCACAGCTTTCTCCTCCCGCATCACATACCAACCTTGGGGCAGCAGGCGATGACGAGACTAATATCACCGTGAATCAGATGGGCTCAATTCTTCCATTCGTTACTTAAGTACCTAATGATCATTGGTTGTATATTTGTGTAAGTTTCTTAAGGAAAAGGAGGCCAAGAATACAAAGTCCCATCAAAATATCTTTGTTTTTGGTGGTTTTCTGACTTAGAAAATCTACATCCTGATGATTCCAGTGACAATAACAACATATGTGAAATGAGAGCTGATAAGCTGAATCTTCCACGTGTCCTGCAGGTGCTATTTACAAACTGAATGGATAAAGTCAGGCTTTTAAGCTTGCCCATTTCCCTTTACAACTTGTTTGATTCAACAGAGGGAAAATTGAGGGCTGACACCTCCAAACAAGGAGCAGGATGCTCCAGGCAAGGCCATGGTCTCTTCTGAGAAGTTGACATGCTGGGCCAGAGAGCACACTCCATATTTTTATCTACACTAAGACAGGCTGGGATGAATTGTCTAGGGTGGTGGCTACAGTACTTGTAGAGGGGCTGATTTTTAAAGACCAACCAGTAAGCGTATTCAGAGATTTTTCTTGATCTGTGTCAGCCCTGGTTTCCTTATCTGTTAACTGGAAGTTAGAAACAGTGGTCTCTAAAGATGCCTACCGGTCTAACATTCTATGCATTACTTTTCTTGTTATTTTCACTTATTCCACAAACATTTTTTTAATTACCCACTCTGAACTAAGCATGGGGGATGTAGCTGTGAAAAAGCATGAATATTGTCTCTGCCCTTATGAATCTTACTTTCTAGGGATGTGGCAGAGACGAAACCAACACAGGCATTAAAGGACTCATTACATGAATAGTGTATTATAATTGTGATGTGTGCAGTGAAGAGGAACTAGAGGCAGGCCATTGTGACCAGATTTCCCTGAGCAGGTAACATTTAAGATGTTGATGATTAATGGAAATCAGGCCAATGAGGAGAAGGAGCAAGAAGATTCCTCGCAAAGGCCATGAGATGGGATAGAGCCTGGGACAATTGAGAAGCAGAAAAATGCACTGTGTGGCTAAAGAGAAGGGAGGAGGAGGCAGCAACCCTCTTATGCAGGGCCTTGCAGACCGTGAGCAAGAATTTGGATTTTATTGTCAGGACAATGGAAAGCCGCGGAGGGTTTTAAAGCACGACCAGATTTGCATTTTTTAAAAGATCACCCTGAAGATGGACAGGTAGATAATGATAAACAAGTATAACTAATGGTAGAAGGTGAATATAGGTGGTGGGTTTAAGGGTGTTCACTGTAAAATTATTTCAACTTTTCTGTATGTTTGAACATTTTAAAATAACATGTTCAGAAAATCTGGCCATAGTATGGAGAATGGATTGAGAGAGGGGAAGAGTGGCTGCATAAATAGTAGCTAGGAGTCTTGTACTAATCATAGAGAGGAGTGATGGTAGCTTGGACTAGGGCGGTGGCATGGAGACAGCGAGAATTGGACAGGCTTTCGAGATATTTGGGAGGTAGAATCAATATGATTTCCTGATTGACTGTGTCTCAGGGTAAGGGAGAGACATAAATCAAAGAACACTACCCAGTGTCTGGCGAATGTAACTGGGTAGGATGATGGTACCAGCTACTGAGACAGCATGTACTGGAGGAGAAAGACATGGGTGCGAGGGAGAGGGTGGAATGAAGAATTCAGTTCTGAATGTGCTGAAAACATGAGATACCCTGTTGGAGATATCAGATAGGCAGTTTTTTTTGGATCTGGGTCTGGGGCTGAGAAGAAGGGTCTAGGTTGGAGATGTGAGTTTGAAGTTATAAGCACATAAATGGTCATAAAACCATGAGAGTACCATACATAGTAAGGCCTGAGAGGATGTATAAAGAAAGATGTAAAGAACAAGCACCAAAGAATCCAGTGTTTGACAATTATGTAGAGAATGGGCGAAGACAGAGGAGAGGGAACAACTAACGACACACAAAAATGAGGCCTATATGATATTCCAGAAGGCCTCTATTGAGGGGCTTTTGGGTTGTTTCCAATCTTTTGAAACAAATACCTTTGTATGCACTCATTTCTCACATGTGTATCTATCTCTGCAGAATACTCAAAAGTGGAATTGATGTGTAATATATATCTCTGATTTTGAATGTCAAAGTGTTTATTTCTGAAAGAAAAGACTGCTTAGAAAAGCCACCAAACATGGACAACTTAGTTAACCATATTTAATGTGGCATTTGATAGGACTGGTTAAATAAATTTTATATATCCCTGTAAGGTAATACCCTGTAGCCATAAAAAGAATAAGGAGGCCAATATATTCTGATATGGAAGGGGAGGAAAGAAGACTGACTTTTCACAGTTTTGAACTATTTGAATTTTGTGCCATTCACACATATTACCTATATTTTAAAATATTCTTTGTACTTCTACACCATACTTAGTAAAAAAAAAAAAAAAAAAGAAAAAAGAGTGACCTAAAGATCAATTTACCTTCCATTTCTGAGAACACCACCAACAGGATTCTGATAGACTTCCACATACCTGGGTTTTGTGTTATGAAAATACCCAGTTAGATGTTGAATTTTATGAACCATGATACAGAGAATTGCTTTAATTGTGGCAAAGGTCTGAACACATAACGTTCATGGTCGTCTTGAATTCAAGTTATAAATTTTGGATTTTGCCACTTTTATCATTAGTGAATAAATAATATTTTGTCTACTTTAGTGATGTCTCCTGACTTCACCATCACCATCCTCTCACCTCCCCTAAAAATGCCATTGAAGACAGAATGAGTCACATGAAGTCTGAAGACAATTTATCTTTCCACTATAGGAATTAGTGATGATTTTATTCTTTTTGTTTTCTATTTTTAAGGAGGGCAACATAGGGATATGGGTGTGAGTTTAAAAAATTGTACCATGTGGGAGCTAGCCCTGTGGCATAGTGGTTAAGTTCAGTGCACTCTGCTTTGGCAGCCTGGGTTCACAGCTTTGGATCTCAGGTGCAGACCTACACCACTTGTCAGCCATGCTGTGGTGGCAACCCACATATAAAGTGGAGGAAGATTGGTACAGATGTTAGCTCAGGGCTAATCTTCCTCAGCAAAAAAAAAAAAGTACCATATGTACTAAACTACACTAGATCAATAAACTCAATTTTCTAGAATTAGCCTATTTTTGAATAATATTGAAAATGGATTGCTTATTCCTTTACTAAGACTAGTGCTAAATATATTCTTAAATCTGTTTTCAAAACTCAAGAAGAAATTTAGAATATGGAACAATTAGCCACAATAAGCCTGAAGATGATTCTAGCTTTCCTACTACTAAAATCCAGTTTCTATCCTTTTAAGGATTTTATATAAATTCAAGTGAAAAAATGAGTTGAGGGGCTAGAATATGACTCCAGAAGAAGACTGAGTTAGGTATGTTCCTATTCAAAGAATCCAACTCTGCTCCACCTTCCTCCATCCACATCCTCCTGTCCACCCCGATAAGCATAGTATCATGCCAAGGACTACACTGAAAAGAATGCTGGCCTAGGAGGCACATCCTGGATTTAAGTTTGGATACAGTTACAGCCTCTGTATGATCCTGGGCAAGTCATTTCAGCTCTCTGGGCTTCAGATTTGGAATCTGCAAAATGAGGAACCAGGTTGGAGCTCCCTTCCCTTTCAGCTTTTACTGCCTTCACATCTAAGTTTGGTGGCTAAAGCATATCGAATTCCAGGTGACAGAAAGTATGGTAGACTGAACTATTGGCCCCAATTCTTCATCCCTTCTTGCATCCTTACTCTTGCCATGGCTGCATTATGAGCAGACTGTATTTCCCTGCCTCTTGATTTTGGGCTTGGCCATGTGACTTCCTTTAACCAATGGGATATCAGTAGACATGACACAAGCAGGGGCTCAATATGTACATTATTTCTTATTCCCTTTTAGTTAATGGCTTAGAACATTTTATAAAATAAGTGTTAACAATAGAGCTCTCTAATAGCTAGGTCATAAGTAGGGTGATCCTACGTTCCAATTTTCCCAGGTCAATTCTGGGTTACCATTGCTGTAATGATTTAGCTCTCTCTACTCTCAAAAGTGGACTGATTTAGATTGTAAACTATATAGTCACCATAGAAAAACCTGTCTGTTCATCTTGAAAACTCAGCCGGTTAATCCAGAACTTTGCTACAATAACAGAGCCACCCCCTTGCCCCAGCAACCACCCCTACAATGCCTTCTTTGGCTCATGGGGATTCCCAGGATGAGGAGAGGGTAGCCAGTATCCCTTCTTCTTCCTCTCTAAGTGATCTACATTTTTAGTGACCCCCTTTACCTCAAACCATTTGAGGAAATCTAAAGTAACTCATAATTAGAAAAAGTTTGGGGACCCCCCATCTCAACTGTAGTTTCAGATAAACTTGTGCCATTTCCCTTATGGTGTAAAATCTATGAATCACCACGCAATTTGCTTGTTGACAGGACAGTGTGGTACACTTTCTATCATCCAATCAAGAAGGCGCTGGCCCATGGACATAGAGAGATACATGCTTTTTTAGACACTGGGCAAGATCCTAAACATTCATAACACTGACATCTCTCCCCTCATGTCCCAATACCCTCAAGTGAGAAATAGCAGGAAGCAGAATCCCAGGTCCCAAGCCTGTTACTGGTAGGAAATGGCAGCCAGACAGTCCCTGGAGGCCTCGTTTTGGTGCAGTGGTACCTTCAGAGCCTACACTTCCCCATGCTGGAACGGAGCATGAGTACACCCTCTACAGGAGTCCCAGGATTGTCAGCCATCTCCTGCCAAAGGCGTTGCTCTTCCCCATGAGAGTCCATCCAATCCACGTTCTTCCCATGGCTCACACCTAAAGAAGGGAAAGACGAGCATTACACTTCACAGATGAAATGTTCTGATCTCCTGGAAGGTACCTATCAACCTCTGAGGGGATCTTTTGACCAGAAAGCCCTTCACTGGCTTGTTCTCACTTACCATATCTAATGAGTAGTGTTAGAATGGAATATATCCTTTGCAGCTTGCACTACTCTCTTCTGCCGAGATGATAAGAAACAAATCTGGACAGCCCTGGCGGCTCATTTCTTTCCCACTTTGTAGTTTGGCAGAGAGCTGGCTCATCTGAACTGAGTTAACATGACAGAAGAATAGGCTGAATGGGCCCCGGGGCTCTCCCTTTCTAACTAGGCTACTTCTCTGACCTGAGTTTTCATTTTAGTCGTATAGATATTCTTGACTCTCCTTAATCTATAAATAAGTAGAGCATCATAGGAATGTGGTGCTTCTCAACGGGAATGTTGCCCATGGTGCATGCAGACCATCTACATCTGGCATAAGCTATGGGATAAGGAGAATTTGGGGGGGCTGCATGTGTTCTACTATTGTAATTTTCTTCCCAATTCACTCCGTTATAGTTGTGTCTTATGGCACCAGTGGTGTGTTTCCATGACCCATTTGAACAACATTGGATGCTATTTTTTTTAGGGGAAAAAATGACTTCCTTTCACTCAACTAGTTATGAGTAATGGCTGCAAGTGATCTACTGAGAAGACGATGAATCAAGTTGGTCTCAGAAGTCTTTCTCTCCCCTATCAGAAGCCTGTGCTGTCCTGGTGATCCTATCCTGAGCAAAACCTGAACTTAGGCCCAAGAAAGTAGTTGAAATTCAATTAGACTAAAGTGTAAATGATATTTTTTGAAAGGACTGAATATAAACATTATACATCCCGAGCTTCTAGCTGGAGGATACAAAGCTATACAGTAATACTTTTATTTTAACAATGAACAGATCCTTAGCTAAAGGATTAGGGCATCTGTGGTAATTTTAGGAATCAGCTAAGCTGAAATTACATATACACCTACTACATATCACACCTCCAGGAACCACTCCCCTGCTTCATGCCCAGTCACAGACCATCTCAGGGCCCCAAGGTCCCTCACCGCTTCCGGAATTCAAACGAACTCCTCCCAGAAAGATGTTGCTGGAAAAGGCCTCCTTGTCCCAGACGGTAAGTTCTAGGCAAACATTCTTTATATCCTGGGGATGCAGGCCACTGAACGTGAAAGTATGATTCCACTGAGGGTTAACACTCTTTTTTATGACCAGAGTTTTGTGCTTGGTGGCTTTGCTATCATCAGGGAGCAGGTAGCTGCAGGAGAACACACAGTCAAGCCATCAGTGAGACAGTAGGCAGAAAATGGCCTCCTTGAGTAGTCATTTCAATTTCCCATAATTCCCTGTGTGTGTGTGTTTGTGTGGTATGTGTATTTGTATTTGATTTTCTCCCCCAGGTTCTTATATGCTTAAATATGAATTTATTTTGTGGAATGGTTTATTCTTTAAGTGGGGCAATAGTATAAGGCCCATACTCTCCTTTCTAATCCCATTTTGGCCTTTCCCTCATCTGGAAATGAAAATACCTCCTGTGGTAGACACTATTTAAAGTCCTGCCGCCTGTCATCTTTGGCCCACCTCCAGGTTGACTTGAAGCCAGGATAAGCAGTTCCTGGCATGCTGACAGCTTTCCACGTCAAGCACCTGTTTCTCCCAGCTTCTCCAGTTAAGCACTTTGGTGTCATGTGAGCTGGCTCAGGTTATGTGCAGGAAACCCTGGGATACTGGGGATTCAATGTCCCTAGGAGCAACCCTCAACGAATGAGTTTTGGAACTTAATGAATGAAGCCTTCAGCTTCCCTGTCCCTTGAGGAGACAATCCTAAGGTACTTTCCACAGAGTTCCTTGTTGCTCCCCCAGTGGGACTGAGCCTCAGTTGTCCACAGTGGTAATACGCCTATTGGCATTTTTATCAGCTTCCCTCCCTTCCCTATCTTATTTTCTTTACTCTCTCGCTGCTTCCAGGAATCTCTTCTCAAATATAATATCTGCACCCCAGGCCTTATTTATTATGGTCAAAACACTATTTTTGACCACAGGAGAGAACTAGGCTCTAGGTACCTGATGAATCAGGGAAGGAGACATATAGGTATGGAATTAGTACATAAAAAAACATGAAAAATATCACAAAACAAATGACCTTAAAATGAAGATGGTACATAGGACACTGGAGACTTCATTTCACAGCCCAAGTAGAGACTGCTTATTTCCCAATATCCATTCTATCCTTATTCTTCTCTAAAAAAAATCCTCATTTTTTTAGTTAGACACAAGATTGCCCAGAATAAAGACTACATTCCCCAGCATCCCTTGCAGCTAGTATAGCCATGTGGCTAAGTTCTGGCCAATGGGATATAAGAACTAGTTCCGTATGAAACTTCTGGGAACTGTCTTGCTAGCTAGAATTTGGATGGCATAGCTGAAACTTGAGTAGCTGTATTGGCCCATGAAGTGGATACCGTAACAAGACAGGAGAAACCTAGGTCCCAGATAATGATACTTCCATAACCTGCCCTAGATACTTTACCTTTAGTCTTTGTTTACATGCATAAGAAAAATCTTTTGTCCTGTTTAAGCCATTGTTATGTTGGCTACAGACAGACTTAAAGTGATATATAAACTTTACATAAAGGTCTATTCTTGCTTTCTCATACTCTCTTTTAAAAATTGGGGGTCCCTTTAAAGTCAATTCAATGTTTACATATAACTAGAGAGAGAATTCACTAGAATGTTGCTGGCTGTTACTTGAACACAAGACCTGAAACCATGAAACTCTTAGAAGACAACATAGGCAGTAAGCTTTTTAGCAAAGGTCTTGGCAATGATTTTTTGAATCTGACACCAAAAGCGAAACAACAAAAGCAAAAATAAACAAGTAGAACTACATCAAACTAAAAAGCTTCTGCACAGCAAAAGGAAACCATCAAAATAAAACAAAAAAGCAACCCACAGAATGGGAGAAAATATTTGCAAATCACATATCTGATAAGAAATAAATAGGGGCCAGCCTGCTGGTGCAGTAATGAAGTTCGCACATTCCTCTTCAGCTGTCCCACGTTTGCCGGTTTGGATCTCGGGTGTGGACTTACACACTGCTTATCAAGCTATGCTGTGGCAGGCACCCCACATATAAAGTAAAGGAAGATGGGCACATATGTTAGCTCAGGGCCAGTCTTCCTCAGCAAAAAGAGGAGGATTGGCAGCAGATGTTAGCTCAGGGCTAATCTCCCTCAAAAAAAAAAGAGACAGATATCCAAAATTTATAAAGAAGTGATACAACTCAACAGCAACAAACAAACAATCTGATTAAAAAATGGACAGGGGGGCTGGCCCCGTGGCCAAGCGATTAAGTTCATGTGCTCCGCTGCAGGCAGCCCAGTGTTTCGTTGGTTCGAATCCTGGGCGTGGACATGGCACTGCTCATCAAACCACGCTGAGGCAGCGTCCCACATGCCACAACTAGAAGGACCCACAACGAAGAATATACAACTATGTACTGGGAGGCTTTGGGGAGAAAAAGGAAAAATAAAATCTTAAAAAAAAATGGGCAGAGGATCTGCATAGACATTTTTCCAAAGAAGACGTATAGATGGCGAACAGGGACATGAAAAGATGCTCACATCACTAATCATCAGGGAAATGCAAATCAGAACCCCAATGAGATATCACCTCACACCTGTTTGAACGGCTATTATCAAAAAGATAAGAAATAACAAGTGTTGGTGAGGATGTGGAGAAAAGGGAACCCTTGTGCACCGTTGGTGTGAATGTAAACTGGTGCAGTCACTATGGAAAACAGCATGGAGCTTCCTCAAAAAATTAATATGACTACCATATGATCCAGCAATTCCACTTCTGGGTATTTATCTAAAGCAAACAAAAACACTAACTCAAAAAGATGTATGCTCCCCCATATTCACTGTAGCATTATTTATAATAGCCAAAACATGAAAACAAACCAAGTGTCCGTTCATGGATGAATGGATAAAGAAATTGTGATACATACATACACCCCCCCCCCCACACACACACACACGCACACACAGAGGAATATTATTCAGCCATAAAAAAGAATGGAATCTTGCCATTTGTGACATGGACAGACCTCGAGGGCATTATGCTAAGTGAAATAAATCTGATAGAGAAAGACCAATACCATATGATCTCCCATCTATGTGGAATCTAAAGGAAAAAAAACAGCTCATAGATACAGAGAACATGGTGGTGGTTCCCAGAGGCAGGAGGCGGGATAAATGAGTGCAGGGGTCAAAAGGTTAAAAAAAAAAAAAAAAAGAAAAGAAAAGAGAAAACGTTTTTGGCTTTTTAAAAATAGAATAAAGATACTGTATTATTTCTGCTTCATAAATGTTTACCATGATAAAGTGAAAACTGTTTCAAAAGAGTTTAAGTCTCATGGCAAGACCACAACGAGGCCATAGGGGAGGCACCATCCCCTCATCCCACCAAATAGTGAGCGGCAAGAGGCCTGAACAGGATGGCGGGGCTGGTAAGGTAAATTGCAATGGCAGGATCCAAATAAAGCATTTTTCTGTATTTAAAGCTACTGTGAGAAAGAGTGAAGGACAGATAGACCAGATTCAGGCACATACTCTCACCAGTGGGGTAGCCCCAGACATCTGTTTCTCCTTATTACTGGCCTTATCAAAGTCAGAATGTGTGAGGCTAAAGGCTTGACTCATGTCCTTGCAGGGAAAATGACACTTTTCTAAGAAGGATCAAGGAGAGGAACAACACTGTCATCTGACTCAAAGAATTATCCTCACGGCTGGCATCACGGGAATTTGTTTTTCCTTATGTGCTTTATGGTGCTCCGTGAGGACAGGGACCACGGCTTGTTTTTGAAACTGCAGCACTTAGCGCTTGGTACATGTGCATTTACGTGTGTGTTTGAATGAATGAAAGATATCCTTTCAGTTCTAGTTCCTCTAATTACAGGGAAAAAATCTCAAATACAAATCAAGAGGAATTTGTTGTTTGGGTTGCTAGGCAAGAATGTCCATTTAAAGGGCTGCATTCCCTCAAGTAACTGCCCTGTGCTCCACCAAGTGGGCATAAATGCCCAGCAGGCAGTCCTGGAGCTTCCTCAGAACACTCTCCAGTGGGTATCTCCAGTGAGGATGCTCTGACATCTCCACTTCCTACAATTTCCCCCAAGAGATCAAAATACCAAGGATCCAATGTTTTTGTTGTTGCGGCATACTGCCAGCACCAAATGACAACAAAGCACAATAAAAATATATTACACATAGAAAATCTCATTTTCTCCTCCTTTAGGAAACGAATCTCACAGGAAAATTTGCCAGTCCTGAGGGAAGTGTGACGGCAAATCGTGAAATATGCTGGAAGCAGGCTGAAAGCTAGAATAAGCAGTTCCCTCTATACTTGTATTGTATTAGATGTAAGAGCCAGCATTCACCAGCAGCTCTTTCTTAGTACATTTAGAGTAAGAACACAAAAGCCTCACAGCTACCACTGTCTCGTGGATCACGGATCCTTTCATCTCCCATTAAGTATCGTCTAAAATGAGCTAAAACAGAATTACCCCTTCACGAAGCTATCAGAAGTGCCTCCTGACTTCACCGCTGTCAAATTCTTTGCCTCTTTGATGAACACTTCTAATATTCCTCCAGAGATGACAGCCGACTCCTTCTTCTTTCCCCTTTTAAAGGTCTTCTTTCCTGCATCAGCCATCAAAATGAAACAGAGAGAGAGAGATCATGGGTTCCATTTCAAAATTTACAAAGGAAATCTGCAAAGATGTATTTCGTCTGTTCCTGAATCAGGTCTTTATATTACTGTATATTTTTTTATGTAAAAACTGTTTCAATGTTTTTATGCCATTGGATTCCTTCTGAATAGGTCTTTTATTTGTGTTTGTTGAAAAAGTGAATAAATTTAAAACTTTAAATGTTCCCCTACAGGGTATATCTTTTCATAGGGTATAAAGGAATAAAATGGAAAAGACCCTGAGAGCTGTCTGGCCACGTTTCTGCTCTCGGTGAGAAATAGCTACAGTGAAAGCCACACACAAACACCAAGACTTCAAAAAAGAAAATTCCGTAACTCCCTTTTTTGATATTTTAGTCTTGTAAACTGTCAACTCCATGCCAGGCCAGCTCTAAGGGCGATAGAGCCCAGGCACAATTACATTTGGGGATGAGAGAAAACTCTTCCCCATGACACACTTTTATTCTGGTAAAATAAACTCAACGTGAATAATAACTGCCGCCACCACTACCTTTATTTAGTATTCTTTTAAGCACTATACATGAATGAACTTATTTAATCCTTATAATAATCCTGTGAAATGAGGAAACTGAGGCCAGAGATAGTAAGTTATTTGCACAGGGTCACACTGAAAAGGCTAACAGTGAATGGAAGGACAGAGGAAGCTGCCTGTAAAAGTTGACCCTCTCTGGATTTTTCCTTTGCATGCTGTGTTCTAGGTCAACTTCTTCCTCAAGACTCCCTGAGTAGCTGTGAACGTCATAAATACATACAGCAGCTTTCTACACCTCTCCTCTCAGCAGACTATCTTCCCTCTCCCCAGTGGGGAAGATCCTATATCTTTGGGACTTCCAGGAAACAAATCTCACCATCAAGTCTGGTTTCTAACTATGAACTTTGTCCTTTCCTTGTAAGAACCCCACACCCTCCCCCATATATAGTATATACTTCTCAACTCTCCTCAAAAGACAGTGACATGTAACCTTTTACATTTCATCTGTGTAATGCAAAAGTAACATAGTCCAACCAATCCCTCACCCCTATTCCCACACTTCTAGAAAACAGAATGTCCTGGATCAAGGTCATTGATTTTGACCCTACCTTGAAGTTGTCCTAGTGGAAGCATCAGGTTCTTCTCTGGGGGAATGTAACGTAAAACAACCGTCAGCTCGCCTTTGTACTGAAGGCCAATGTCAGCAGCAAACTCCACCTGGTCAAGGGGAGAAAGGTGAAAAGAAAAAGTGAGAATGCTTGGTTTGTTATTTTGCAGCCCATGTCTGAATGTACAATATTTACTTGGTGGCTTAAATGGACAACCCTTTCCCATTCCACTATTTTAGTACTTATTGATTTAAGAGATACCTTAGGTATGAGAAAAGACAGGCTGGAAAACTCTATGAAGATATTTGCATATAATTTTTAACATTAAAATAAAAGGAATTTGAGAAGAGATATATAACACACATTCAGTCCATAATATTGAGTGCCTGTGATGCACTGAGGACTGGACCTTTAGTTTGGGATATGAGACAGGAATAAATATGCCACTGAAAAGAGCTCCAGAAAATACTTCTCCCTGTCTGTCCTTGATGTCTTGAGGCTTTCATAAGTGGCCAAGAAAGCAAAAGTAGGCGGTAATGCTTGATTCACATTGGGCTGCCGGCTACTAATTACTAAAAGCTGTATTGGTAATTCATATCATTAATATTCAGTGTGCAAAAACTAGTTCAAATACTGCTGGTGAGAATGTAAAATGGTGTAGCTACTCTGGAAAACAGTTTGGGAGTTTCTTATAAGACTAAACATATAACTACCATATAACATAGCAACTGCACTCTTGGGCATTTATTCTAGAAAAATGAAAGATCACGTCTACATAGAAACCTGTACACAAATATTCATATCATCTTTATTTGTAATAGTAGAAAACTGGAAACAACCTAGATGTCCTTCAATAGGGGAATGGTTAAACAAACTGTGGTACAGTCATACTCTGGAACACTACTCAGCAATAAAAAGGAATGACTATTGATACATGCAACAACTTGGATGAATCTCTAGAGAGTTGTGCTGAGTGAAAAAATTGAGTCTGAAAAGGATATATACTGTAAAATTCCATTTACATGACATTCTTGAAATGACAAAAAAGATACGGAATAGAGAGGCAGGTGGCAGAAGGGAGGTGGGGATGGTTATAACCACAAGGTAGACAGAAATACATGGTAAGATATTCTGTGCTCATGGATTGGAAGAATTAATATTGTCAAAATGTCCATACTACCCAAAGCAATCTACAGATTCAGTGCAATCCTTATGAATGTCCAATGGCATTTTTCATAGAAACAGAACAAAGAATCCTAAAATTTGTACAGGACCACAAAATACCTCAAATAGCCAAAGCAATATTAAGAAGAACAAAGCTGGAGGCATCACACTCCCTGATTTCAAACAGCATCACAAAGCTACAGCAATGAAAGCAGTATGGTGTTGGAATAAAAACAGACACATAGATCAATGGGACAGAATAGAGAGCCCAGAAATAAACTCACGCATATATGGTCAATGAATTTATGACAAAGGAGCCAAGAATATACAAGGGAGAAAGGACAGTAGATGGTGTTCAATAGATGGTGTTGGGAAAACTGGACAGGCACATGCAAAAGAATGAAAATAGATTGTTATCTGACACCACAGACAAAAATCAACTCAAAATGGATTAAAGACTTGAATGTAAGACCTCAAACCATAAAACTCCTAAAAGAAAACATAGGCAGCTCCTTGACATCAGTCTCGGAAGTGATTTTTTTGAATCTGACACCAAATCAAACGTAACAAGAGCAAAAATAAACAAGTAGAATTTCACCAAACCAAAAAGCTTCTGCACAGCAAAGGAAATCAGTAACAAAATGAAAAGGCAACCTACAGAATGGGAGAGATGTTTGCAAATAATGTATCTGATAAGGGATTAATATCCAAAATATATTTTTAAAAAACTCATACAACTCAGTAAAAAAAAAAAAAATCAATCTGATTAAAAAGTGGGCAGAGGATCTGAATAGACATTTTTGCAAAAAAGACATACAGATGGCCAAGACGTACATGAAAAGTTCAACACCACTAATCATCAGGGAAATACAAATCACAACCACAATGAGGTATCACCTCACACCTGTTATTACGGCTATTATCATAAAGACAGGAAATAAGTGTTGGAGAGGATGTGGAGAAAAGGAGACCCTGTGCACTGTTGGTGGGAATGTAAGTTGGTGCAGCCACTGTGGAAAACAGTATGGAGGGTCCTCAAAAAATTAAAAATAGAACTAGCATATGACCTAGCCATTCCACTTCTGGGTATTCTTCCAAAGAAAATGAAAACAAAAAGATAGATGTACCCTCATGTTTGTTGCAGCATCATTTACAATATACAAGACAGGGAAACAACCTAAATGTCCGTCGATGGATGAACGGATAAAGAAAATGTGGTTGGTATCTATACCTACACACACACACACACACACGCACACACAAAATGGAATATCACGCAGCCATAAAAAAGAATGACTTCTTGCCCTTTGTAACAACATCAAGTGAGCTTGAGGGCATTATGCTAAGTGAAATAAGTCAGACAAGGAAAGACAAATATCGTATGATCTCACTTATATGGAATCTAAAAAAACCCATAACAAACCAAGCTCATAGATACAGAAAACAGATTAGTGCTTGCCAGAGGCAGGGGGGTGGGGGGCAGGTGAAATGGGTGAAGGGAGTCAAAAGGTACAAACTTTCAGTTATAAAATAAATAAGTCATGGGGATGTAATGTACAGCACGGTGACTATGGTTAATAAAACTCTATTGCCTATTTGAAAGTTGCTAAAAGAGTAGATCTTAAAAGCTCTCATTGTAAGAAAAAAATTGTGTAACTGTGTATGGTGGCAGATATTAACTAGATTTATCGTGGTGATCATTTCACAATATAAACAAGTATCAAATCATTCTCTTGTACTCCTGAAACTACCATAATGCTGTATGTCAATTATACCCCAATAAAAGTAAGTCAATAAATAAATAAATATAAAAGAGCACAAGGGATCCTTGAGGTGATGGAACTGTTCTGTGTCTTGGCTGTGGTAGTGGATACACAAAGCTATACATGTGATTAAGTTGCATAGAACTAAATACACACACACATACAAATAAAAACTGAGAAAATCTGAATAAAATTAGTGGGCTATATCAATGTCACTATCTTGGTTGTGACACTGTACTACAGCTTTGTAAGATGTTGCCATCCTGGGAAACTGGGTAATGGGTACCTAAGATCTCTCGGTATTATTTCTCATACCTGCATGTGGATCTACAACCATCCCCAAATCAAAAGTTTAGATAAACATATTCAATGTGAATATATACCCAGAGCCTCTGTTCTGTAGGTCTCTCACTTGCCATTGAGTCAACTGAACTTTGATTTTTCATAAATAGGGTAGGAAAAGTAGAGTACTTTCTCAGGCTTTGCCTTCAGGAACTTGACTCCTGAACACTTAGACAAGGGTCGAGAACTGCTCTCCTGTGAGAGAGGGCAGATGGAAAGAATTCAGAAATGCAACAATTCACAGCAAAGCCAGAGGCTGTTCAAACCTCAGCAAAAAAAAAAAAAAAAAAAAAAAAAAAAAAAAGATTGAGACCATTACAAAGTAAAGGAATCCTTGTCTGACTTTCCTTCCTCTTGGTGGTGTTAAAATTATTAGTAAGGGTGGGAAAATCATTTGAAATATTTTATGCAACCTTCCTATCAGGGGCAAAAAATGAGATTGGATGGTGAAATAGACTATCCATCTAATATTTAAGCTGATTATTTTAGATCAAGTGCCTAGTAAAGGGACTTATTGTTTTCACAATTTCAGTAAATTTTAGTTTAAGTGAATGTCATGAATGGAAAATTATAATGCACCTTATAGCAGATTAAAGAGGTCACTACTTTTGATACTATAGTCAATGAAAGGTGAGGTATTTGCCCTCTCCCTTTGGCTATGAGTGGGCTCTTTGTTTGCTCTGACTAGTAGAACACAGCAGAAGTAACAATGTGCCAGTTTCTGGACCCAGGCCTTAAGGTTAACAGCTCCTACTTCCTCTTTTGGAATGGATATTCTTGGGATGCTCCCTCTGGGAACCCATGGTGTGAGACCCAAGCCACATGTAGGTAGTCTAGTTGGTAGGCATAGCTGAGTTCTCAGCTGGCAGCCAACATCCAGCGTGAGACAGCCAAGTTGAACAACCAGCCCAGTCAAGCCTTCAGAAGACTTCAGGCTCAGTCTACCATCTAGCTGCAACCACACGAGAGACCTTAAATGAGAACCACCTAGCTGAGTGCAGTCACTCCACAGAATCACGAGCGATAATAACATATTGTTGTTTTAAGCTACTAAGGTTCAGAACAGACCAGTGCAGGCTCTATTTGCTTTTGGTTGAGATCTTTGGGTAGGAAAATATGTTGGTAGGAAAAGTGATATGTGCAAGTGTCACATACAAATCTAGAGTATATTACTAGAGATCAAAACATGCATTATTGGGATTTATTAATGTTCCAGAGGTTTTAGCTTAAATTAAAATATACTGGTGACTTTGTATAAATACAGTCCTCGAATCTTGTGAGAGTAGAAAACAATAAAGATGGAGTCTCATGGTATTATAATCACATTCAAAAGAAATTCAGAGAAGGGAATCATCTTGCAGCCTGCACATATCCAATGTCTTGGCATATTTTTGGTACTCTTGCAAGGAAATTCCAAGGCAACATCCTCTCCTGGCACACCACCATTTTACATTATTCAACCAACTCCTGCTCAGAAAAAGGTAGCAGAATTCAATTCAATTATTCAATTCTACTAACACATATGGAATGCCCTCTTGCAGTTATGCTTTTAAGGCATTCTGCTAAGTGCTGTAGGGACACATAAGACACAGATGCTGCTTTTCAATGAGTTTTCAGTCTATCCAGGAGACATAATATTGGACCAAAGCTCTACTATTCTGCCCTTATTTAATTGACTCATCAGATTAATGCTCTCCATTCCCAATGAAGAGCAGGATCCTCTATACAATCACCATGAGTGCCTGCTCCCATCAGTTGAACTGCATGCTCACCAAAAGTCCGCTGCATTAGCTCCCCCCAAGCTCTTTATGCCACATATATTTGTGGTTCTAATTATATA